ATAACGCTCCGTGTCACAAAGATGAAATCATCTCAAACTGGTTCATGAAACATGAAAATTAGCTCTCCCCAGTAGATCTCAGAGCTTTTATTATTGATCTCCTCTTCCCACCGGTCCTTTTTAGTTTTCAGAGCAGAGATTACTGCTGTGCCTTTAATCTCCTAAGACCCGAATTCTTTCATGGTGTGCATTTTTAATTTCTCTTTGTTTTTACATTCATCAGGTCCCAATCAGCCCAAATAAAAAAGAGTTTTGTTTTTTTACCTGATTTTTGTTTGAGAAAAATTAGATCCACATACGAGGACATTCGTTTTAAATTTCAATAGAACAGTGGCAGTATAATGTCCTCATAAGTGGATATCAGGCCATTGTAGAGCAAAATTTAGTATTTTGGTCTAGACAACCTAAAATGTGATGTCCATATATGTGGATGCCAGGTCCTAGGAGGTTAAAACAGCAGTTTTAAAGGCCCGACACCACAAAGAGTCGGGCCTTTGCAGTGGTGACGACTTGGACACTCCAGAATGAGTTTTCTCATTGCCCTATGCTTTTTGTTATGAATTCAGAGAAGGCTTTAAAAGCAGATAAAGACCTTCCTATCCAAACAGAGATTCGGGTAATTATGTGTCTAACCTTGTTTTGTGGTGTTCGTGCATCTGTTTTATTGTTTTATTTGTTTTGTTTTCTCTTTGTCTCTTTGTGCTTAATAAATAAGTCAAAAGAGTTCACTGTAGTAAATCGATCCAACAGAGCCACATTGGAATGTGCAGCCAAGAAATCATCTTAATATAGACGAGAATCTCTGATAAAAAACCATTAAATGAACATTTGATCATCTAAACTTTTAACGTTGGTGTGATGTTTTTTAATCCACACCTCAAAGGGTTGATTTCAGCTTCCACTGACTGCTGTTGTGTCATTTTGTTCTAATCAAATTACAGTCACGAGTCGAGGTTTTCAGTCGTCATCACCTGATGTGTGATTTAAGTGTTCCTGTAATATTTTTGAGCTGTATAATAGGGCTGTTCGATATAACGATATATAACGATATAAAAACGTCTATCGTGTCATTTTACGCTATCGGATATGAGATTTTGGTCATATCGCACAGCCCTACTGTATAATTTCAATTACAGTGACTGAGCCTGGATTCAACTCAAACTATTCACTCTTGCTTTCGTTTTTTTAATGACATCTAATTACTGCCTCAGCAGGCAAGTTTTTCAAAACACCTTTTCAACAGGAAACAAAATCTGTGACTTGTTTATTTAGCGAGTAGCCAAAAAAAACAGATTCACTGACCATCCTTCATTAAAAGCCACTTACACGTTTAATTGCTATTTAGATCTGAAAAGAAATAGATGGAACAACAGTTTCTGAATGTGTTAGAAGGCAAAATGTTTAATGGCAGCTCCTGACATCACAGGGAGGCGTGAGACTAAATCATTTAGATATGGGGATAATGGTGCATATTATAAACGACATCAATTAAAGCCAAAGGGAAGAATTTGACACAAAGCCAGATGTGGGAATCAACCAGGACATCAGAAAGTCTGCTGGTGTTTCTATTAGAGCCTAAATCACACTGGCTGAAATAACATTACAGGAGTCAGGCATTAATCTAACACCTTTCAGATCTGCCTCATCTGCACTGAAAACTATATTTTCACTCATATCTCAAGATGTCACATAATACGGGTGATGTGAGCTATAAAAGCAAAACTATGTGAAAGTTGATTTGGGATGTTGAAGAGCTCTGTGTGCGTGCACCTCAACACAATCTTAGACTGTTGTGCCCTCTGATTTTCGTTCTTGATCAATGTCCATGCAAAAGGGTGAAGATGAGCCTGAAATACTGAAAAAGGCTCCCTACACAGCAGCTTTACTTCCTGTGTATGTCTTGTAATGTGCAATGTTAAAAGACACAGTCATACTCTTCTGTTTCACTAAAAGCTCTGTGGAATAGAAATAGACTGAGCCCAGCGCTAAACATCTGGGACAATAAATCAATGTCAGCCCACAGGACCTATAGGACAGACTCAGGGCACACTCACAGCTGCCGTTGGTGACATTAACAAAAAGAAAAGAGTTCTTTCAAGAAACTATTTAAAATCAGCTGTTTAATATTTTATGTATTCTGGAAGACAAGACCAACTGTCCATCAGTGATTATGCACCTGCCACCTGGAAAATAAAGAGATAAAAAGCGCAAAAGCATCCAGAGAGAGAAATGTACACCCTGCACTCTGCCCAGGTCTAGTGCTGAAGGCTGTGGGGTAAGCTGCGCCCACTTCTGATGGAGCACGCTGGCTCATTTGCTGCTGCAGCTCTGATTTCAAATTGATTCCAAACATCTGGTCTTTTAATTGAAATTACTCATTAAAGAGCACAGAAATGTTAGCCTCTATTGTTCTGTTAAATACTTGCATAATCACTGGTTATGAAAGCTGAACAGATGAGAGTTTCAAGTTTAAAACAAAAGATTATATAAATAATTTGTTTATATATAATATACTGTAAAGGAAAAATTAAAAACAAAACTGTCTTTAGTTCAGATGTCCTTGAAACATCCTTTTGATTTTATTGATTTTATTTCTTATCAGCTCTGCAAAGTTGAATTAAATGCAAACAGATCTTACAACAGATTATCACATATGTAGCACAAATGTTATGTTATTGACTGTTTGAGCACATCCCCTGTTACCCAACCGGGTTACAGAAGCCAGAGGGTGTGCTTTAAATCCTGGGTTTAGGTTGTAAGAATCACTTTTAGATACTCGTCAATTTTTTTGCTTGCAAAAGTGGAGGCTCCATATACAAATACGACTCCCTCCTTTCTGCTCTCTGAGCACTGAGCATCCTTAAGAAGAGTTTGTGGTCACATCAAATATTGATTTCCGTTTGTTTTAATTTTCCCTGTTTACTGACAGTTGGAAAAAGACGTTTAATCAAAAGTATTGATTCCATTATTTTTGGAATCGTCCTAATTTTTCCCTCATCATACAATTTAAAGTGTTGATGTTGCAGCTAAGCTCAAATGTGCAGAGTTGTGTGTTGTTTTGCAGCGACTGTGTGTATCTGCGTGTATGGTTTGTACCTGTGGTTCCTGGTTCAGTGTTGGAGAGATTCTGGTAGCACTGCATTTTGATTTCATACAGGATGTACATCTGCTCCTGTGCAGAGAGTGGCCCATCAAACCCCATCTGTGGAGCACAGCAAACACGATCAGATCTTTGACCCTGTGCATACATGACTGTAAGTCACCATTTCCTGAAATTTCAACAACACTGGAAACATCTTCCTGCGTGCTCTGGGCCAGACCTGCTCTGCCCCAGGTCTTTGATTTTAATCTTGATTTGTGCATATATAAACAATTATGTGACTTTTAAAATTAGAACCTCTT